GAGATCCACGATATGTACCATTTCCAAATTTTCCCCACAGAAGTCAAACCGATCCGAACAATGGCTAGTAGTTTTCTCTCTCCTCCGAACAGATACACTCTAAGTGACCGAGTTATCGGTGGCGTCGTTCAACGTCGTAACCATCTTGGGCTTGCCAACGAGAATGAGACGCGGGAATTGGCGAGCTACACCAAACCGAGGCAAACTTTCTCGTTCGAGGATGTGGAGTCGTATCCAACCGAGCAGTTGCCTCCGAGAAGAACGATCGGTCAGAAACGACAGCCCGATCTCGACAATCTTGCGGATCTAGCGTTGACACGCACTACCAGTGTGGCCCCGATGGACACGAACCAAAATGACCTGACTCCTCCAACTACAGGACGCAAAATGAAGGTTTCTGCCTCTCGACGCGAGCGCTGCAGGATCAACCAGGCGAGGTACAGAAAGAGACAGCGACAGCACGCTGAGAATCTAGACGAGAGTATCCGCACTCTTCAAGAAGAGATTCGAGAGCTGGGGACGCAGCGTCAGAATATGTTACGTCGTGCCCCGACGAACAAGAGTGTGTGGATCATCGCGACCGAGTACTTCAGGCTGTTCCGTTATGGTTACATCGCGCCAATAATGGCCCTGGAGTCGTCTACTTCGCTGCCCACTGTATGCAGCCTGACAGTAGGTTCTCAACGTGAGTCCCACGCACAGCTCGAGTTTCTCAAAGCTACGATGGCCCCTGACGTGACGGATGGCAATGTGCACGGCGTAGAGGCGATGCTTGAGAACTGGAAGATGCTCTCGCTCAATGGCGGCGACGTGCACTTCCAGCCCAAGCGCCTAGAACAGCTTGGAGCTGGCTCACTTCTTGCTACAACCAAAATGAGCGTCACTATTACTGAGAGCTCACTGCGTCAACTATTCCCGCACCTAGTCGTAGACCAAGACGCGAAAGAAGACCAAGCCAAGAAGCTGTCTGCGTTGGCGGCCAAGCTGTTGAATCAGCGACTATGTGTTTGTGGATCAGTACGCTTCGACTGGGACACCTCAATCGGTCGCGTGCTTCGGCTGGAGTCCAAGGCCGACCTCCTGTCGTCTATGTTAACCCTACTGGGCAGTCTTGAGGACGTGGCTCTAGTCTTTGACAAGGCTCTAGTGACACTCGACGGTAGATTCCTAGCAAATGAGAGCGTGATTTCGATGCCCGCTAGCAATTAGATACTGGTTATGTCGTAAACATATAACAATCCACCTTGAAATATATGAATGTTTAGTTCCTCTCTCCCTAGGTTTTACGGCTAGAGCTACATGTAGCTTGGGAATAGAGGAAGTGTATGCAGCTGATCATCACGATCATCGTGAAGCTCGTTTCAGTGCACCCGTTTTTGTAGGCGGCAACGCTTGTGCGCGTTATAGTCTGCCTCTTCACGACATCGTTGATGACACTCCAGGTCAGCACGCGATCCATGTTGACTCCAGACTCAGGACCCTGGACTTCCAGAACATCGCACGACATCACTGATGACAACACACAAATATCCGATCCATCTGGAATCTGATAGGGTTCAACTAGAAAATCGATGGTATCCAGTAATACATGTAGAGAAGGGCAACAAGTGCATGCTATCATTGGTTGCGTATTGCCAGCAACGCTTGTTCTTTTTTTCTCCATGCAGAATGAACGCATTACCTGATCACGTTGCTGCAATTGTGCGACAACTTGTCCACATGTCCACATGTCCATCCGACCATTTCGACCATTCTGTTTGCCGTGCGCATCGCAACACGCGATCGCTGTTGACGATACGTCCTCAGCACGTAATCGCTGATGACCGAACAAAATTACCGTCTCGTTTCTTGTACGTATCGGGTATAGGCAGCAAAATTGTCTGAGT